GTGTGAACAGCCTTCAGCCCACAATCCCAAAACTCGTTTTCAGGGTGTTTTCGTTGTCGGTCAGAACATTGTATTAGTAAGGGTTATAATCCCTAAGCGCGGCCGAAGGCAGAAGCAAGTCCAACAGGTGATGGACCTAACAAAGTGCATATTTTCAATGGCTTGGAACAAGCTGTTATTGCATGAACTGAATTGAGAACTAGTTCTTCAGGCATAGGAGTAGTTCTGGCTTGTAGTTCAACAAGTCAACCAGAAGCTGACATAGACGCGCCCATGGTTACTATGCCCGACAGCTCCGCATATCTTTATAAAATCATTCCCATAGCGCGCTCTTACTCCGCTGCTATAAATGCAAATGCAATAGAATCCACCGTTCTCTTCAAAATATGTAAAATCAAATAATTTTACTATAAGTAAGCACTTCATGAGTGTTTTTTAATTCCTTTCCACTTTGTTCTCCTTCATTCAGCTATCTTCGAAAAACAACTGATAGCTGGCAATGCTGCACATGGTTCCGCAAGGGTTGCAGCATGTGGATTTTTCGTTTTTCGTAGCGTAACTACGAATTACGAAAATTCGGGTTCTAGAATAAGGGGGTTATATACCCCTATTCTGCAACACTTTCGTATTCGGATTTTGCTACGAACCGTAAAATGGTATGCTGACAGCTTTTTTGCGTAATTTTGTACGAAAACAATTCTGTCTCCGAAGTGAGATAAAAATTAAGCAAAAAGATGTAAATCGATGTGTGTTTGCAGGAAATATTAGAGGTGTGCTTTTAAACAGATAAATTTGCCTTTTGCATATATGTACGTATATTTTTATCTCCTTTTTGGTTGTTGTTGTTTCCGACAGGGTGGGTGTATGATGTATTATGGAACGAATTTCCGTCATCCCTTGTCAAATTTGGTTTGGAGACAAACCGGTTTCGGCGTTGTGCCATCTTCAGTGTCATTTTTCGTTCTGCATAATTTTTGTTGGTTGCTCGTATTTATACTCCTTGTTAACTACCTCTTTCTTTTGTTAGGTACGTCTTTTTAGTTTTGCAGTGTTTGCGGTACTCAATAGGTAGATGAATTGTTTTGGCTCGTTTTTGACGGCAGGTAGAAGTCCGTGATTTTTACCCCCTTTGTTTTTGCAGTCGGTGTATTCCCTTCCA